ACACACACACACACACACACACACTCACACACACACACACACACACACACACACACACACACACACACACACACACACACACACACACACACACACACACACACACACACACACACACACACACTCCCACAAACACACACACACAGACTCACACACACACACTCCCACAAACACACACACAAACACTCACACACAGACTCACACACTCACAGACTCACATGCACACACACACACTCACACACTCTCTCTCACATACACACCCACAAACACACACGCAGACTCACACTCAGACACACAGACACACACCCAAAAACACACACACACACACAGACTCACACACAGACACACACACTCTCACACACACTCACACAGACTCACATGCACACACACCCACAAACACAGACACACACACACACTCACACGCACACACACACAGACTCTCTCTCACACACAGACACACACACACACAGACTCACACAGACACACACACACACAGACTCACACATACACACACACTCTCTCTCACACGCACACACAGACTAACACTCAGAGACACACACACATGCCCACAAACATACACACAGACTCACACACTCACATGCACACACACACACTCACAAAAATAATGATAATGATAACAATAATAACACGTCTAATTTAGCCAACTGTCACAAAAAGTAACGGGGTCAAAGGTCAAGTGGCCCAAAAGCTCTGGGCTAGCGTCTCAGACTGGTGAAGTTTGTGCTGCGTTTGTGTTTTAGTTCCTCTGAGGCTCCACTGACCCGTCCAGATGGATGAGAATAAATCCGTAACCATGGTAACTCTGACCACAACCGAAGGACCAGAGCAAAGAGACACAAACCATTTAGTCTTGATTACGGTAGTTGTTCAACGTTGTGTTTACTTGTTTGTTTTTTTCTTTTTTCATATATTGGATAAAACTTGGCGGCACGGTGGTGTGGTGGTTAGCACTGTCGCCTCCCAGCAAGAGGGTTCTGGGTTCGAATCCCGGGGGAACCAGGACCCTTCTGGGTGGAGTTTGCATGTTCTCCCTGTGTCTGCGTGGGTTCTCTCCGGGTACTCCGGCTTCCTCCCACAGTCCAAAAACCTGCATGTTAGGTTGTTGGAGATTGGGGAAATTGCCCTTAGGAGTGAATGTGAGTGTGAGTGGTTGTTGGTCCTTGTGTGTCTCTGTGTGGCCCTGCGATGGACTGGCGGACTGTCCAGGGTGTACCCTGCCTCTCCCCATTGACCACTGGGATAGGCTCCAGTTCCCCCCGCGACCCCATGAGGGAATAAGCGGTATTGATAATGGATGGATGGATGGATGGATGGATAAAACTTTGTAAACCTAAAAATGTAAACCTCTTCTTCTGGTGTTTCCACACCTGAGCAGGGACCAAATAATAATGATAATTTATTATTACTATTATTATTATTATTATTATAATACAGACCGCTCCTCTGGGATTCTGGGGCTTCTTTGTTGTATGAAGATTACAAAAATAAACACAAAGAGAACTCTAACTGGGGGGAGTGTGCTTCTCCCTCCTGCACTCGCCTGGTTTTCCATCTTTCTGAACTCAGACTGAACATGAGGCAGCAGGAGGCCGTCTCACATCCTGAGTTTGCAGAGTTTGCAGTAACTGAAGCTGCTCTGAATGAGGAGCCATACAGGACTAAACCCCCCGACTCCACTGACCCCTCAGTCATTCTCTCACTAAGCAGATACTTTTACCCAGAGCGACTTTAAAAATAGGAATACAAAAATAAATAGATAGATTAAAATAAATAGATAAATAATTGAATAAATTAAATAAATGAATAAAAATAATAAATGAAAACAAAATAAATAGAATAAATAAGAATATTAATCAAATAAATAAAATAAAATAATTAATAGATAAAATAAATAATAAAAACAAACAAAAATAATAAACAAATAAAAAAGCAAATAGATTAAATAAAAA